TAAAAACATTTCTCTTCCCATCCAGAAAGTGTCCACATTTCAAAACTGGAGAATGTGGAGTTTCAAAATGTTTAAAGTGCATGGAGTGCTTCATATGTCCGTTGGATTCAGGCGCAGATTAAACTCACTCCTCTACATCGGACAGTCATCAGGGTCTTTGTTTGCCTGGCTCACAAGACATGGTCACATGAAGGTGTGAATAAAGATAAAATAACTGGGTATCATGTTGTCAGGCTGCATTGTGGGTTTTAGAAAACTGAAATCCGAGAGCTTCTTCTTGTTTGGTATAAATAACCTTCTTCTCCTTCTCTTAAATGTACTCGGATGCACACCTTATTTTAATCTAAAAGTCAGACAATTATACATTCATGCATGATATTCCTGCCTAGAACTGTTTGTTTAAAAAAGACATTCAACTTTCAACGTCCTTTTAGATATTTCAGAATTACTTTTCCATAAACATTCTGAGTGATGGAAATTGTTAAACGCAATTATTTTCAGTAGAATCTTACTGTTAGATTTACTTGGTGTCGCACAATAATTGCCCGACGACGGACTGTTTTTTATGCGACACGATGTATTAAATTCCCCTTCTTCATCCCTGATCTGGCCTTTTCTTTTATTTTTTTTTTTCCCCCAAGAGGCAAGCGATCTCTTCCTCCATTGACGCTATGACTGAAATGGTGAGAAATGAAGGAATTTGTCACGAGCAAATTAAAATCTGGTCCAGCATGGCTGTGGGAGGGTCTGAAGATTTCCTGGTGGGCTGGTCTGATGTGTGGGCTGCAGGACCAGCACTCTCGTTTTTTTTTTGTTTTTTTTTAAGAACTTTTTATTAACAACATATAAACACAGAACACCACTGCTCTTGCTTTTGTTTGTTTGTTTGTTTTTTGGAACTGGCAATCAATCCAGTAGGCGTGTCAGCAAATGACCAATCGGCGAACTCTATTTGTCCCAAAGGTAAACATCACTTTCCTGTGGAGCTGACTGCAGCTGCTCAGGGTGGACGCTCGAGTATGAAGTTTGAACCCTCTGCGGACAGTGCGCACAGTTTCTGCGAGGCTGACAGGACGCACGAGTATACTGGAGCCTTAATCCGGTATGCGCGGACCTCCGCGGACTGACATTGGCCCAACTATACTGGGGCCTTAACTGTGCAGATACTAATACACCTCAGAGCTTTTCAGGTTGTTCATCGCTTCACCATTGGAAGTAACCAAGTCAATGAAGTAGCTAAATATGCTAATATACTGCAAGTGATCCGCAGCCACTTCTTCAGGTCGTCCTCCCATCTCTCGTCCGCAGTAGGCAGCTGTATTATTATACTGTCCTGTCTGAGCTCTGACAGGTGGTGCTCCTACATGTCTAAATTAAATCCGCAGTGCTCAGAGAAACTACGTTAGCTTGTACTGTTTGCACATAAACAAAGACCGGTTCCGGTCTGCACCGGAAGTCGTGCCCATATTTCACGCAAGGCACCATCAGGGAAAGGAATACATGTAATTGTAAATGAGTCCCAGAGGCTCAATGGGATTAACCTGCATAAATAAATGTTGAATGAAAATAAGGTGGATAGAGAGAGGGATAAGTTTTGAATTATATACTAAAATGGCCTGGCATATTTCTACTGCACAGGATTTTCCACATATTAAAATATTTATGTATTATATATATATATATATATATATATATATATACCCTTAATCATCAGCCTTATAGTTTTGTACCATAGAATATGGTGACGTATTTTGTATTGCAAAGCCATTATGCGCTGATCAGATTTTTTTGTGGCAAAAATTGTGGCACAAGGTGTTCAATGAAAAATAAATGCTCCATGCCACTGATACTAGTGTTGTAGTACTCAAGACCGGTTTTGGTCTTGAGACCAGTCTCACTTTTTGATGGTCTCGTTCGTTGTCTCGGACTCGACTGCATTTGGTCTCAGTCTCTGACATCGAGGACTCAGGATTTTATTTCAAGACCAGTCAATACCTCAACTGTGGAAATATCACTAAATTGCCAAAATATTGTCCAGTTTATTTGTTAACATCTTTGTTTTTATCGGATGCAAAACATACTGGTTCAAATCCAAGCAATAACGTGACTCGTTGCTAAATATATTTTTTTGTTACCGCTGTCACGCCCACCCCCTTTCACTTGCACGTGTCACTCCCAGTGTGGCCAGATTGTGTGGATTACTGACAATTGGGCTGTTTTCATTATGATTTTGCTGGGAACTCTGGGAATATTTTTGTTGGATTGTTGCGTTTTGCCACATATTGTTAAATTACCTTGGCTTGTACTGATGTGCGTTCATGTTCAAACAGTAAATATACTGTAACAATATACTGACTGGGCGGATTTTTGTGTGACGTGACAGTTTTTCACACATTTTTGGGCTGGAAAATGTCAACTCTATCTGGCAACGCTGGTCACTCCAAGAAAATAAGAAGTGATTGTCTGGGTGCGGGAGAAGATGTCTGCCAAATCATCAGTTATAAAAGTTGCCTGTTTAAATCACAAAGAATATACTGTTTTTAGTTTTCTAAATCGCCTTGTGATCCAACTGTATTTTGATGCTATTCCTCTTGATTGCCCTTTTGGTTGCTATTTTGTTTCGATTTGTTAAAAAAATAAAAAAAAGAGAGAAACTTAAATTGGTATGCCTATTTTATGACTGTCTGTTGTCATCGTTGTTATCCATTGCTGTCATCATTCTTTGTTAAAAGCAGGTCTCTCTTGTAAATGAGTCCTCGAGGCTCAATGGGATTAACCTGTCTAAATAAAGGTTGAATGAATACTTGTAACTAATGCAACTATGGTTTTCCTTGGTCTTGAGTTCGGACTTATGACGATTGTTTTACCGTTGCAGTTTTTTTAAGGCTTGGCATGTGATGAAACTGCTTCCAACTTAACTGTTGTGTAATTTTATTGTTGAATCACATGAAGTTAGGCCACTGAATGTCTGAGTTCTTTGTTACGTAGCTTTGAAAATTTATACAAGCTGATATATTCATTCAAAAGCAAACAAAGTTTCAGTATGTAACTTTTATTTAAAAAAAATAATAATGGTAACACTGTACAATAAGGTACACAAAATTTGATTAACTACTAGAGAACGCCTCAGGAACGAATCAGGAACAAATGAGGAGTTAATAGGTAATTAAGCAGTATTTACTGGGAAACACATAGCCAAGACTTATTAGGGGACTACTGCTTAGTTACTTGGGAAACAAAGAAGGACTAATCAGGAACTAATGAGTAATTAACAAGGAAATCAAAGAGGAACGAATCAGGAGTTAATGGGTAGTTAAGCAGTTCTTACTGGGGAACACACAGTCAAGCCTTATTAGGGGACAACTGGTTAGTTACCTTGTAAAAAAAGATGAACTAATCAAGAACTAATGGGTAGTTACAAAATAAAATAAAGAGGAATGAATCAGGAGCTAATGGATAATAAAATCAATAATCGCTAGGAAACAGGTTTTTGACAGTTATGAGCCATGACCTCACTGGTGCAGGGTTTATTCAGAACCCACATGGGTAATTTCTCCTCTGTTTCTGTGGTAACAAACCAGTAGTCCCCGAATAAGGCTTGGTTGTGTGTTCCCCAGTAAGTAATGTTTAACTACCCATTAGCTCCTGATTCGTTCCTCTTTGGTTTTCTTGGTAACTACCCATTAGTTCTTGATTAGTTCCTCTTCACTTACAATGCAACTAACCAGTAGTCTCCTAATAAGGCTTGGCTGTGTGTTCCCCATTAAGTACTGGTTAACAACCTATTAGCTCCTGATTTGTTCCTTAGGCATTCCCTAGTAGTTAAGCAAATTTTGTGTACCTTATTGTAAAGTGTTACCAAAAATATTTTATAATAAAATTGTATTTAATTTATTTGAGGTCTTGGTCTCGGACCCTAAAAGTTTTGGTCTTGTCTTGGTACACTCTGGTCTAGGTCTCGGGTTAGGTGGTCTTGAACACACTAACTCACATGTGTCAAACTCAAGGCCCAGGGGCCAAATGTGGCCCTCGTTGACATCTTATCTGGCCCCCAAGATTATATTTTAAATGTAAAATACTTTTATCACTTTAACTTTTTTCAGTAATCTTTGATTATGATGTCAAAAGTCCAACAGAGAACATCAAAATGAGACAAATCAAACTCTTGTTGAGGAACCTGCAACCAAGAGAAGATGTTGGGAATCTAACTTGAGTTAATGTAGATTCTGAACCGGCCCTTAGTTTGAAAATGGTTTTAATTTTGGCCCCTTTTGTAAGTGGGTTTGACACCCCTGCACTAACTGATCCTAGCAGCTGGTTTTGGTTGTCAGCAGCAAACTGGTTGATCCGCTAAGAGAAGGTGCTATTTATAAGACTGAGCTGAATACAGCACCTCACACTGAAGAAGTCTTTCAGATGAAAGACGAAACGTTTCTACATTTTTTTATTTTTGCTTTGTTTTTTTGAATGTCTAGAGGACCAGATTTAACTTTTTTTTTTACACTGACACTATTGTGACGTGGCTCTTGAATCGTGTCACCTGTGGATGCTTCAAAATGATCGCATGCAGATAAATCCTTTCTGAGCCTTGCAGGCGTGCTTTCAAAAAAAAAAAAAAAAAAAAGGCCTGCGCCTATCATTTACAGATTTGCGATCTAAGCTCATCTGATGCGGAAAAGCAAAGTTTCAAGCTCTGCACTTCACTTCACTTCACTTCCTGCCTCGGCTCGACACACAATGCGGGACAAGTGGATCCGCACAGCCTGATCCGGACACGACCCACGGACAAGCTGAAAGGTGCAGACTTCGTTCTTTGGAGCGCTTTGGAACAGAGACAACTATTAGAAAACTCCCCGCATTCTTCCGCGTGTCGGAGGCGCGCGCGTGTTCCTTGCGGGCGCATCCAGGCCTACCTGTGCGGACTTGTCCGCTCCCCAGGGTGGGTGGGAGGGAGCGGAGCCCACGCAGGCACACCTTTTTCCTTTCTCTCCCTCCTTCCTTGGAGAAGCGGATGATCCGCGCGCGGCCATGTCGGCGAATGAGCGAGTGATCCGAGTCCTCAAGGAGATCCTGCAGAAGTCTGGGAACAACGTGTGCGCGGACTGCGGCGCCAAGGGTACGTCCAGCTGGTGTTTGCTCTACACATGATGAGCTGGGAGATTTAATCTGAAGGGCCCAGGGATTACGGAACAAATTTGCGAGTCGCGAGCACGTCGGTTAAAAGACGTGCTCGCGGTGTTGATATCAATCATAATCCTGCTCTTAACAGTTTTAAGTGCTTTACGGCAGCAATTATAGATTTGTGACTAAATAATGTGTTCTGTTTTGGTTCTAATATGAGTTCAAATGAGTGAGAAGTGGAGTTAGGAAGCAGGAGGAGGAGGAGGAGCTTTAACTCAGGTGAAACTGCAGTGACTTCAACAAGTCTTGGTTTGCTTAATGAGGGGTATCCACTTTATCACAGTCAGACATTCTTTGTCGTTCCAACGAAATGATGCACACAGGGTCCCAGTTACATCCAACAATACAATGTAGACAATAACATCTAAGATATGAACTAAGAAAAACATCAACTCAAAATACACTAAGCACTAATGGCGTAAAAACATGTCGAACAGCAGCACGAACATGAGCAGATGAGCACGCATGAACACACCAACATTGAAACAGATCAGCAGCAACATGAAACGGATCAGCAGCACCATTGAAACCGATCAGCACCAACACGAAACAGATCAGCAGTAACATGAAACAGATCATCAGCACCATTGAAACAGATCAGCAGCAACATGAAACGGATCAGCAGCAGCATGATGTGATTTTTCACAATGATTATCCTGGTTAGAAATTCATGAGACTAACAGCCTCAGGGTAGAAGCTGTTCCTCAGTCTAGTGGTTCTACACTTAATGCGCCTTAATAGGAATATGGCATAAAATTCATATCACGACATGTATTGTGAAGGGTGGCGATAACGATTTGTATCACGATATGTTTTTGGTGTAAAACTTGCAATAGGAATGAGGGGAAAAAAAGCATAGGGTGTCCTTTTGCCATAATTTATTTTGAATTAAGAAAATTCCACTACTAGGTCCAGAGAGTTTTTAAATAATAAACAAATCAAGTATTAGGTCTCTTTCTTGTAGTGCAAAAACAGTGTAAAATATATCAAATGTAGTTTTAGCCGTATGTTTTAAACAAAAGAATATGTTGTTAACTCTTAACAGTTTCCAGTGTTCTCATTTAAGCAATGAACAGCAACAGAGCAGTAAGTGAACGCAGAAAACACTTAACCCTCCAAGCCTCTAGAGGGCGTCTTCTTCCGCTTTAAGGAGAGCTGACACAAAATGAGTCTGTGGCTTTGACCAGAGGGTCTCGCAGTAAAATCACACAGCACAGCGTTCTTTTCACAGATCAGAGAGCAGGTTTCTCTAAAGCTGACCAACACTTACTTTAACTTTCGACGAAAAAAAAACATTCAACGGAACACAGCGTTTTGCGCATGCGTCCGAATACGGCAACACTACTGCAAGCCGGCCGTAGTTAGCTTGTAGCTTCGCTACTTAGCTCTCAAAGAAAATACTTTACCACCACTTACGCACAGTTTTCAACTCAAAAAAGTAACGATTAAACTGACAACTCTGATTTTACATCAGACACAGCATTACTGCGGTTAGCCAGTAAAAGACAGATCTCTATCGTAGGCTAAATTTCTATTGTTTCTATTGTGTACGGTATATATCGTGCATTCCTACTCCTTAACCTCCTTCCAGAGGGGAGAGGGGGAAAAAGTGTGTGTGCTGGGTGAGTGGGGTCCTTCATGATGCAGGTGGCTCTCTTCCTGCATCTGGAGGTGTAGATGTCTGTGATGGTGGGGAGGCTGACTCCAACAGACTTCTGTGCAGCCTTCACCACTCTCTGCAAAGCTTTTTCTTTCTTCATCATCCATCTGAGCCTAAAACCTGTTTTTTAATGTTATGAGTTTCATTTTTATGTCATTAAATTAGTTGGCTAAAAATATTTATCTTATGGCTAACTACCCTGATGCATTCTCAATAATCCAGGTAGAAAAATCTAAAAAAAGTTAAGTCTGGTCCTCTGAACATTCAAAAAAAAAAACCAAGCAAACAAACAAAAAAAATTGTAGAAATGTTTCGTCTTTCATCCGAAGGACTTGTTTTGTTTTATTTTTTTGCATGTTCAGAGGACCATACTTAACTTTTTTATATCATGGCTAACTAGTTTTCTTCAAGTTCAAGAATCTTTATTATCCCCGAGGGGCAATTTGTTTTGCAGTTAGTAGACATACAAAACATCCATACTAGACAAGACACTGAGACATTAAAATATGAGTACAGAAATATATATATATTTTGTTTAGAAGCTTGATCGCTGCAGGATGAATGAGATTTTCAGTCTGTTTATTCTACATCTGGGCAGTAGATACCTGCGCCCAGATGGAAGCACCCTGAACTCACCATGGAGTGGATGAACAGGATCTGCCAGATTCAGCCTGGCCTTGTTCACTGACCTCACCTTGTGGAGGTCAGTGAGTCAGCTGCTCTCTTTGCCACTCTCCCATTAAGACTGGTGAGGACCCTGGACAACAGTGGTTGTATTCTCAGACGCCCCTCCATCTCACCTGCTGAAGTTTAACTCCTTCAGAGTGCCTCCTCATACACGTGACAGGTTGTGCTCCCCTTCTGCAAAGGAGGAGCCTAGGCCCTAATAATCTGTAATGCCACGGGACATCCGCCCCTTCCGGTTCCTGATCCCTCGTTGAAATGTACTGGGGAGGCAAGCGCTGTTACTTTATTTTTTCCTGCCTTGATTTAATATAATTGGTAAAACTTAATTCACGTTTCCTTGATTTATTGATAGTGTGGGTTACTACTTCTGAGGGAGGGGCGAACTGGGCGCCTCTTAGGCTGGAGGTGGGGCCTTGGGTTCAGAATAAGACCCGCAGGACACACACTGACCAGCAACACTTCTCTTGGTAGACATGTTCCAAATGTCCGTTTTATGTTACTTACACAAAACTTCTGGTGATGTTTAAAACCTTTGAAATCTTTTTTATCCATTTGCTGACTTCTTCTTTTAATCTTTTTTTTTCCTCAGTTGAATTAGGACAGCCACATGGGGTTGAATATTTATGCAATTACTTATTTTACATTACACATTTTCATTTAATTTGTATTATTTTGTAGAAATTAGAGCTCACATTGACATTGAAGCATTTTTTTTATTTTTTATTATTATTTTACTTTTGCTAAACGGGCCAACTTTCATTGTTATAATTATTACAGTAACACAAGTATATAATATCCAGAAGCTGAATACTTTTTATAGGCACTGTACATAGAATTTAATGTCCTTTATTAGTGCCCCTTCAAACTTGCCAATAACTGGATTAGTTTTAGCGACTGCAAGCTATATGCTTTTTAAGTGATTCAACTAACCATTTAGGATGGACAAACAAATCCACAGTTGTGTTGTTCTGGTGAATGTTTCAAGTCTCTCAGGTGAGATTCTAACTGTAAGCCAACAAAATATTCTCTCCAAGGGTCTACAGCAGGGCCTCATGACCACTTTTTAGAAGAAAATATGAATAGTGACTCACTTTTATTTTTGAGAACAACAACAACAACAAAACGTGTGTGTGTGTGTGTGTGTGTGTATATATT